GACCGGTTCCCGCTCACTGGCTGAGCGAGGCGCGGGGGCAGCACCAAGGGTTGCGATCCCGTTGCCGGTCCCGGTCCGGTACGGGGGCGACACTGAGGGTTGCGATCCGTTGCCGGACACGGAAAAAGAAAAAAAAACAAAAAAAAAAAAAAAAAAGAAAAAAATTTCCCTTGAATAATAGACCTCTCTTCCTTTGCCCCTACCACAATCCACAACCGCAGGAAGCCTCCCATCTCATCTCTTTTCTTCCTTCTCCCAAGTTTCTTTTTTCAAAATAACTTTTATTTCAAGAGTAGTACATGTATGTTATAGAAAGTGATGACAAATAAAAGTAAGAAAATAAAAATATCACATTTCGACACCAGAAATCTTCACCGTGACAACTTGGTCTATACCTTTCCATATCTTTTTTTTTTTTTCTTTTTAAAAGATGACCGTTAAGGGGATCTTAACCCTTGACTTGGTGTTGTCAGCACCACACTCAGCCAGTGAGCGAACCGGCCATCCCTATATGGGATCCGAACCCGGGGCCTTGGTGTTATCAACACCACACTCTCCCGAGTGAGCCACGGGCCGGACCTCCATATCTTTTTCTATGCATATATATTTGTATGTGTATTTGTTTTGCCATAATAACAAAATGAGGTTATTACTGTATAAACTTTTTTCAGTCAATACAATGGACATATTTATATTTCTCTAATTGACACAACAATATCCTTTACAGTTGGTTTGTCCAAACCAGTATCTAACCTAGGACTATCCATTGCATCTGATTGTTAAATCTGTTTTGTTATTTGTGGTGGTGGTGGTGGTTTTTTAGTTACTTGTTTATTTTCCTAAATCTAACTTGTTAAAGTGACCACGTCAGTTGTCCTGGATATCCTACCTTCTGGATTTGTATGGTTGCTTCCTTGCTTTGTCATTTATCATGTTTCTCTATCTCCTGTGTTTATGATAAACTAGAAATTATATCTAAAGGCCTAAATGAATTTACTTTAAACATGTGGGGTAGAATATTATAGGTGGCATGCACTTCATATGCTTCACATCAAAAAACATACAATATATGGTTGATCCAACATTAATGATGCTAAGACCATCCCCTAGATTAATGGTCCCTTATCTCTGATCTAATTCTGATCTCTCCATTTACAAATTAGGTTTTCCTTGATAATACCAAGATCCAAGATTTGATCCCTGTTACCAGCCAGCCGCCAAAAAAAAAAAAAATAGGTTTTCCTCTTGCAACTAAAGGTAATCTGTGCAGTGTTACTTAAGCATATATTCCAATTAATATTGTTGGTGTCACAAACTGCCCCAAACTTAGTGATGTAAAACAATGTCTTGTTATTATGCTCACAGATTCTGTGGGTCAAGACTCCAGATGGGGCACAGTGGGGATGCTTTGTCTCTGTTCCACATTGTCTGAAGCCTCAGCTGGAAAGACTTGAATAGTTGCAGGTGACTCAAAGTGGCTAGAGGCTGAGATCATCTGAAGGTTTCTTCATTCACATATCTGGTACCTGGACCAGAATGACTCAAGGCTGAACTTGGCTGGGACTGTCCAAAGTATGTACCTGTAACCTGGGCTTCTCACAGCATCACAGCTGGATTCCCAGCGAGAGAGAGTAGAGAGTACAGAATGAGTAGAGAGTACAGTAACACTTCCACATTCTGTTGATTACATGCAAGTCACTAAAGCTGGCCCAGAGGAATTAAACTCCACCTCTTATTGAGAGAGTGGCAAGGTTACATTGCAAAAGAGCATGTGAGATAAAAGATACTTTTTTGGCCGTCTTGGAATATACAGTCTGTGGAAGCATAACATGAACATCCAGTTCCTCATCGTTTACCCAAGAGCTTGAATAACAGTTGATAATCCTTGCCAGAATCATTCATTATGATTTATAAAGTGATATTTTTATAATTCTGCTTTTGGGGAGGTCATTATTAGCTGGTATTATTTATAAAGTAGAGCTTTCTCTCATTGACTTACAATGAGGGCTATTTAGTTATCCTAAAATTCAGTTCCTACTGGAAAGACAAAATAATTGATTATTTTCCTTTAATTACTCATTTTCAGGAGTTATTTCAGAAGTTGCCTCAAATAGCAACAAATGAGATTTTATATTCTTTTACTTTTTGAATATCATTTGGATCTGATTTCATTGATTTTGGGCAGTCATTGTTCTTTTAGATACTGAAATTGTCCCAGTTTGTCCACTGGGAGCTTCAAGTTTGTCCATGGGCCCATTTGACACCCCCATTAATCTTGACAGCTTTCTTAATTTGCAGCCATCTCAATCTTTTTTTTTTTGTGGCTGTCTGGTAGAGGGATCAAACTCTGGACCTTGGTGTTATCAGCACCACATTCTACCCAACTAAGCTAACTAGCCAGCTCCAAACCCATCTGGTTTCTACCCCTGTCCCTAATCATACCGTTCACCAAATTTGTTTGCCCTTTTAAAATTTTCAGACTTATTAACTTCTAACATTTGGTGCTATTGATTACTCCCTTTTTCTTCAAAGCCTCTTCTACTTTGATTTTCATTAGTGTTTTACTTTTCCGTCTCTTTCTCTGCCCCTTTTTCCTCCCTTATCTAAATACAGATGTTTCCCACGTTTTAGTCAGTGGCCACCCTTTTTCTCTATGGTATCTCCTCATGTGCTTTCATATATTCCTATAACTTAATCCATCAGCTCTGTAGTCATAATTTGACCCCACATCCTAGCATCAATTTCACTTCCCAGCTACCTACTAACTTCTTTACTCAGATGTCCTGCCAGCTCCTCAAACCCAGTCTGTCTTACCCCAAACTTCTTCTTCCTCCTTTCTTATAGTTCCTTTTAGTTTTTCTGTTTCCATTATTAGTGCCACAGTTCTGCTGGTTGCCCAAGTTTAAAACTTCTGAGTCATCTTTTTTCCTTTCTCCCCATCTAATCTGCTCCAAGAATTGATACAGGTATCAATTCTACTGCTAAGGTATTTCTTATATTTGACTCTTTCTATTCCCATTGCCACCATCTTAGTTCTGGATCTCATTATAGCTTCCTTGGACTCTTATGAGAGCCTCCTAACTAGTCTCTTACCTGTCCCTCTATGCCAAACTATCTTATGTACTGTTGCCAGATTAATCTTTCTCAAATACACCTCTGGTTGGTCATTCCTCTGGACTTAAAAAAAAAGGCATACTCATATAAACAAAAACAAACCTTTAGAGGTCCCCATTGTCTTTAGAATAAAATGAAAACACTTCACTCTCTTAGGGACTTTATAGTATCTATCCAGCTTTATTTTTCTTGCCTTGTCTTTATTGTCTTTCTTTTTTTTCTTAAGCGAGTCAAATTTGGCAGTGGGGGGTTATATACCAACTTTGTTATTAAGTTCTGATAAACCACTACCATCAGACCAGCTGTGACTTGTCTTTCTATCACTATTTTTGCACTATGCTCAGGAAAACTAGATTATATCCTTTTTCCCCAATATGCTTTTTGCCTCTATGTATTTGTACTGTTCCTACCTCCCAGTTTTTCCCACATTGACCCACCTAACTACAACTCCCATCTCTATCCATTCCAAATCCTACTCATTCTTCAGGCCCAACTCAAAAACCATTATGCCATGATGACTTCTGTTGCCACTCAGCCAAAAATGTTCTTTTTTTTCCTGAACTTTTGCAGCGTTTTGATCATACCTTCCTATCATGGCTATTTTATCTTTCCCTGAGCTTTTTGAGACTATAAATAGTGAGTCTTCCTGCTTAAAATTTTCATAGAACCTGACATGGTACCAAGGTATGTACTAAAGACAACAGATATAACTCCTGCCTTCAAGTAGCCCAATTGTAGTGGGAAGGAGGCATCTCTACCGAGTTATAATGTAACTTGACAAGTATTGTTTTAAAATGGTAATGTACACACTCATATACAAGGTACTATAGTAACATAGAGAAAGTAGCACTTTATTCTACCGGGTGGAGGGGAGAAAAATAGTCAGGGGAGGTTTGGTGGATTTAAACTGAATCTTGAAGAATGCGTAGGAATTAAATAACATGAGACAAGCACGTTCCAGGAAGAGAAAATGACATACTCAAAGCCACAGGTACATGAAGCTACACAATACAAGCAATTTTGTTCGAATAGATATGAAGTTTTATGGAGGTTGGGGGATTTTAAGGGGAGATAAACCTGCAAAGATAAGTTGGGCCAGAATATTTCAGTCTTTGTTTTTTCATAATAATGCCTTATTTTGTGTGCTTTCCAGTGTACAAAGCAATTTCACATTGATTGTTTGCGATTCATAATAACTTTTTTTTAGTAGGCAGGGACTATCTTAATTATTTTAGTATCTGTAGTTTGTAGTTATTTTAAATATCAAAAACCACATTAGATTTTATTTCTTCTTCTCAATGTTCATCTTGGGGAAGAGGGAGTTACCAAAGGAATTTCACATCACTGTTGGGTTATTGTTGGTGGTGGTTTTTAAATCAGAATTGTATACTGATATACTGTCCCCACTCTTACTCCAGCCCCCTAAAGATACCATTTCCTATATTTGCTCAGCATAGTATAGCAGCATTTTCTTCTATGAAAGATGTCTTTTAGCCAGTGCTCTATGCCTTTATTAGCAAATAGCAAATTAAATTCTGTTCTTAAAATTGAAATTCTGTTCTCAGTATTGTGACTTTATTCTATAAGCCTATTTCTTTTATTAATAATAATTCCTAATATTTTTTCAATAACATGTATTGCCAAACATTCTTTAGTTTGAAGTTTTAATGGCCATTTTAATATAATAATTTGTAAATATTTTTTAAAAAATCTGATTCTAGGATGTCTTAAAAATGGTGTGACATCCAACTGATATAGAGCATCCTGCTTATAATGTGGGCCAAGCACCATGCTGTAAACCAGTTACTATCATGATGATCAGATTGAAAATGAAATTGCATTTCTGTCAATTACTGAGTTGGCAACTGTTCAATATATCTTAGCAGCAAGATGAAGAGCGACGTCGGCAGCTGAGAGAGAGAGCTCGTCAGCTAATAGCAGAAGCTCGATCTGGAGTGAAGATGTCAGAACTTCCCAGCTATGGTGAAACAGCTGCAGAGAAGTTGAAAGAAAGGTCAAAGGCATCTGGAGGTGAGTTAAAGAATCTTGTATCATATTCTACAGAGAACCCAGAAGTCTGCAATGGACCTTTTGGGACTTTTTATTCTTACTTCAAAATGTGGCATCAAAAACATAAGTTTCTAACCTATTGATATGTTGCAAAAAAACTAAAGGAAACATAGTAAGAAGATAACTGTTTCTGTTTTCCAGTCAACTTTTTGGCTTAATTTTTAGCAACTCAGGAAGTAGTCTCTTGAAATATGCTTTAGTAAGAAACTCCTACAACCTTTGGTTTGTGATACCCCATGATGCCTCATTAATTGTATTAGGAGTGAGTAAAGTGTAATCAAGTCTTCAACATCCAGATTGTAAGACCTGACAGTAGTGAGCTTTGGTATGAAAGATTTTCACTTTGAACAATACGTTTAGAAAATAGTGCTACCTATCTGGCATTAAAGCCTGATATGTAAGAGTTTTGAATGTCTCCTATCAATGTCTTCTTAGTCTCAGAGGGGGCTTCTTCAACATCTACAGAGATTATTCTAAACTTGATGTTGGAACACGGACTAGATACACAATTAAAGAGAATTGCAGTTTTGCCTCTCAGTGCTCAATTTATACAGCTTTAATTTAGAACTGTTTACATTTTTATTTAAGAAGAGTATATTCAAGAGGGTTGTGGGCTTTTTATTTCAAATGTGTGTAACATATTTATCTACCAAAACATGCCAGGTACTTGTCCTAAATTAATCTTAGAATGCTAAGATCACCCTGATGAGTAGGCAAGTGAGGACTTGAATAAGACCTTAGAGGGCTGAAAGCTATTTCTAGGTCAATGATAAGTTTCTTCAAAGTATACTAAAACTTACTGCTGTGTTTCCAATTGATTCCTTGTATTAGAAGATTATTGCGGTAGAGAATTCTAACTAAAGCCTATAGCATCTAACCTTCCATCCCATAAATCTGAAAGCTTCTTCCCCAAATAGTTGTGTATCTATCACTCTGCTTTTCTTAGAATGTTATATCTTCATTAACTCTTTATCCTATCTTTTCAACTCCTATTATTCTGGATTTTTATTGTAATTTCCACACACACTACTACAGTTTTATAGTAATATCAGTAACTTCTTACAGCTATATTATATAATGCTATGATAATTTTCTTTCATTTATCATTAAAAACAAGGTGTTTCTTTTATTACAAAAATTCCATATCTTCCAAGTAAGTCTTATAAATCTTTACCTCCTTCTATCTCTGAATGATAGAAAAACCGCCATATTCTTTACCCTCCAGATAGACTGTTCCAAAGCTACTAATGCCACCTTACTGTGGCATCATAACACCATGTAGGAGAACAGTAATAGGATGGAGAGGCATCCAGTGTCACTTTTATTTATTTTTCCAGTGGTGAGCAGATAACAATGCTGTATGTATTAGTTGTAAACTCTGGGAAGGCCAAAAATTAAACTTTTTTTGTGTGTGTGTGTCTTTTTCGTGACCGGCAAGGGGATCGCAACCCTTGGCGTGGTGTCGCCCACACCGCGCTCAGCCAGTGAGCGCACTGGCCATTCCTATATAGGATCCGAACCCGTGGCGGAAGCGCTGCTGCGCTCTCAGTGCCGCACTCTCCCGAGTGCGCCACGGGCTCGGCCCAAGAATTAAACATTTTTAATTAATGGTGTGGGATGGGTCAGCTATGTACTTGGTCCTGACTTTATAATCCAAACCCAGTTGAGGCTAAACTAGGACTAGACTAGGCAAAGAGACTTTGTCAGTGTTACAGCCCAAAGAATGGGTATCTTACCTACTTGGTGATGAGGGAAAGTAAAGACATGAATTTGGCATCATTCAGCAGTCAAAGTAAATAAAGTAAACAAAGGACAACTGAGGATTGGACCTGTAGCGATGGCAAGGAAATACAAACTAGAACAGAGAAAGCCAGGTGAAATGAAGAGGGAGCAGGCTTTGACAGATGACTTATGAGAACTTGCTGAAAAGTAAGGTTCCCTATTCCTGAGGGGACCAAAGTGACCAGAGTCCATTTCTCCCATAGAATACAACATACCTTGGATGTTGGAAGCAGACACATATCTTAGAGCTAAGATTGACCTAAGACAAGTGGAACAGGCCTATTCCCTGTCCTCAGGGGTATGTCTTGGCCTATCTTCTTAAAAAGATATGGATCAGTCTAGGTCTACTCTGGCCTCAAGGTCTAAGCTGTAGCTATTGAGACTGGGAGTTTGGGAAAGACTTTAAGGACAAGGAAGAGAGTAGGATTCTTGCCTGAAATTCAACCGTTTGTACATATGCGTTTATCTATTGAGCAGTGCCAGCCACTGTGCTAGGCAAGGATTCAGCAAATTTCCTGGAAAGGGCCAGAGTAAATACTTTAGGCTTTGCAGGCCATATTGTCTCTGTCCCAACTACTCACCTTTGCCCTTGTAACGTGAAAACACCCTTGACATACATGTGAATGAAAGAGCGTGGCTGTTATTTATCCCAAAAAGGTGGTGAGCTGGATTTTGCCCCTGGCCTGTAGTTTGCTGGCCCTTGCATAGCAAATTCAGAATTCACTGGGGGTTCAGTACAGTCTAATTCTTAAGTGAAAATGACCCTGGTAAGGTTGATAAATCAGGGGAGAAAATTAACAAATTAGTGTTCACACCCAATGTCTAGTAGGAATCATCAAGCCTGCGATTTTGCTAAGGAGTAGTGTGAAAGGAAGAGAGATGATTTGAGACCAGCCTAGGTGGAGTACTAGGGTAGGAAGATTTTAGAAGCAGTAGAACAGAGTGACAAAGAAGAGAAGGCAGTGAAAAGCTGACATAATAAGGTAGGTGCACAGCTTGGGGAATGTGTTGTACATGATCATCACTCAGATGCACTGCTTGAATTCACTTGGAAAAGCTCACTGTTCTGTTCTCAAGCAGCAACCAACCTCTGAGAAAAGGAAACTTACTGAGTTTGAGGTGAGGTATCGGCAGTTTCATGGTGTCCATAGAAAATGCATGCACGGTGGGGCCGGCCCGGTGGCGCACTGGATAGTGCGCCGCTTGGGAAGCGCGGCGGCGCTCCCGCCCGAGGGTTCGGATCCCACATACAGACCGGTTCCCGCTCACTGGCTGAGCGAGGCGCGGGAGCAACGCCAAGGGTTGCGATCCCGTTGCCGGTCCCGGTCCGGTGCGGGGGCGACACTGAGGGTTGCGATCCGTTGCCGGACACGGAAAAAGACAAAAAAAAAAAAAAAAGAAAGAAAATGCATGCACGGTATTTTAGGTCATGTATAGCCATGTATTCAAGCAACCCACTTGCATCATATTGCAACCAGAAACAGCCTAATTCTTGTGTCAGTAACAGTTCACACCTTTCCTAGGAACTACAGCCTAACTTTTACTTGTCCTCCATTTGACATATGTGTAGGGCTTATGAAAGAATCAGGTGATATTGTGGTGTACTGTATATGACTTTTTCAATTTCTGCATCATTTTATAGTTATTGACCTGTAATGGCCTCATTTTAAATCCTTATTCTATGTAACAAAATTATGGGTTCATTTGATTGTATTGTATTTTCCTTGGCAAGGTATAGGTGTTTGGGGACAAAGTTTATAGTGTTTTTGTTTTTAGTTTTTGTTTTAGTTGTATTGTGGTCAGAGAATATGGCCTAAATTTCTGCTTTGGGAATTTATTAAGGTTTTATTCTGCCCAAATAAATATTAAATTTTTGTTGATGGTCCATGGACACATTTGCAAGGGAAGTGGTTACCTTGCTTTAAGATGATATTATATTGTATATCATATTATTATCACATATTATATGTGTTATATATCACCTAATATATTGTACATGGTATGTATTTGTGTATTATATTTTATATTTTTATATATGTATTTATTTGGTAGCTTATCACTTTGATTTGACTTAGGTTAGGATCATTTAACTTTAAAATAACATTTTGGCCTCTCTTTGATTTAGATAAAGTAGTGTACTTTGTTTTGCATTTCAAATAAATATAGAAAACAGTTTTTTTATTTTGTCCATAGGAATGTATACGTGTCTGCACAATATTTATTATTTCAGTTAGGTCAAATAGATTTAACTAAATTTGTTGAGCCAAAATAAAATCGTACAGGCCTTCCTTAATTCTTATTTTCAGCTTCTATTAATAATATAGTATATTATAATATTTGTATTATGTTTTCTGTCTTTTGTTTGATTTCTAGAGAATAACTAAAAGTTACTAATTTTATGGTTACCTTTTCTGAAAATAAAAAATAATTGTAATATAAATGAAAATTTTTTTTCTGAATTTTGCTCTGAGTATGCTTTTAATAACAACCTCAGTTTCTTTTTTAAAATTGCAGATTTTTTTTTAACTGTTGCCACATATCCTGGTTTCATTCAAATTCTCTATAAATGAAAAGTATAAGATTGGCCTTATAGCTGTGCTGTTAATCATACTATTAGGATCCCTATTTTACTTATAGTACTGTGCAGTGTTAACTGGAATGCATTTTCACATCTAATCTCCTTCCACCTTTTCCTGCACAGATAATATATGCCATACTTGCAAACCAGATCTGTAGTTTACTTTCTGCCTTGCTTGCCTACTGGGTTTTCAGTGGTTAACCTTAAAGAGATGTGTGTGTGCGTGTGTGTGTGTGTGTGTAGTATCTTTAAATACACGCACACATGCATGTACACACAAATGCATATGCACTTTAATTTTGTTAGAATGTATTTAGAGCATTTCCACAAGTGTTAGGAAATGTGTAACATTAACTGTTGAAAAGATTTCAAGGTTCATCGTAAAACTAAAGACAGCAATTGGAAGGAAAGTAGAAATCCATTCTTAAAAAGAAAGACCTGAGCTGTATAGACGATCAATTTTTACTCTTGTCCACCCAAATAATAATCCTTTTATCTAATACATATATGAACATTGAGTTAACTCACTCAGCATTACTGGTGAGTGGTAGTATAGATAGAGATTTCATTTAGCCTAGAAATAAAATGAATGACACCTGTTTAACATCATATAGGAACCTGGCACAGTGTAAGTGGTAATGAAAGGATGTGCAATTTTCTGCATGTCCTTGGAACCTGAAAGTACCCTAACCTAACCACATTTCCAGACTTAACTATTTCTTTTCATAGCAATGCCATCATTCTGGTCACTCAATTGCTGGTGGGTCAATTGCGATGTCTCCCTCACCCTTACTCTTCCTCAATGTTCCTTCGATCACAAACCAATATCCAATTGATTTTCATATCATGTTGTACCCACTCCCAATTCTTCTATCCTAGGTTAGGCTCTCCGTGTTGAGTTTTGTACTTTAACTCTATATTAATTATGGTCAGTAATAATCAGTGTCGGCTGATTGTTAGCAGCAAAGTACTGCACTAGATCCCAGAAAACTGTTAATAGTGAGCTATCTCTGATGCAGAGTGATGCTGAGGAAGTGTTCTCAACACCGTTTTAGTGCTCAGGAAATATTTGTTTATTCATCTGCTAAACTACAAAATTATTTAGAGAAAAATTTATGAGGACAGTGAAGTTTGAAGATACTTACTTTTATGAAATGAGTCAAACACAGTTTGCTAAGCACGGTTGATTAGAAAAAAAAAATCTCTCAACTGAGTGTGCTTTAATAACATAGCCAACCATAATGCCTTAGGTAATTCTTTGAAATCATTTAACGATGTTTTCATCTCTATGCTTCTGTTTCTCCCCTGGGGGCACTTCTCAATCTTTTTCTTTGTTTTCTTCTTCTAAATGGCTTACATAGTAGATGGGAAGTCTTCAATATTTGTAAGCTATTATCGATATTAATGCTCACAGTAAGTATTTACTGGGGAAGCCAAAAATTAAACATAAAGGTGTACAGTTTGAGAGAGGGACAAATGTTGAGGGATTAACCCAAAACTATAGAATTTAGGACTTTCTCAATTGGAAAAATCTTTGGAATACCTATTAATCAAAGTTGCCCAATAAAAAATAAATTGCGGAGTAGTAGGGGTATTCTTCAACTTCCAGCGCTAGACAGCTATTTCTCCAAAAGGTGCATTGCCTGTCAACAACAGAATGTTAAGCTAAACCTCTAATATGCAAATCAAATTAATGGTATGCCTAGTCAAAATGTATGGGATTCAAAATTACTTAATTTTATCACTAGGATTTGGAGAGAGAAAAATATATACTAGAAATATTTAATGTAAAAAAATTGACACCATTAATTAATTATGACCTAAATAAAGCATTTTACTAAGATAGAAAAAATGAGACTTCCTCATTCCCATGTATTTAATTTTGAATTATAATAATTTTTCCCAGCTTTAGCTGTCCCAAGATGTGTTGTCTTAGATGTTTCTAAATCTTCTGTTGTATAAAGGTATTGCCTATTCTAGTCTCGTAATCTATGCTTTTATGATAATAACTTTATGATTATTAATAGCACAAAAGCATTCAAGTCTTCATATGACTTAAATATAGCTACAAATTTGTAAGGAATGATGTGTTTCTTTACACATCTATGTCTGATAAATAATAAAAATGTGAAATTTAGAAGTATTATTTGATGACTTTGTTACCAAACCAACTTTATTTTTATGTGCTATTATTACAGTATACTAATAGATTACACTTTAAAATACAGGGACTTAATGAGCTCAGTGATTCAAAGACAACATGTGGCAAATTGTCAGAACCTTTGCGTCTGCTTTGATGTGATAATTCAACTTTGACATATGAATGTAAAATATTAAATGTTAATCCAATAGTGAAAAAGTGACTTAAAACTGATTTCTTAACTTGCTTATCCGTGTCAGGCCTCAATTTGAGGGACTGTCATTAAAAATACTGGTTTTTCTTCTTTAGTGTTTTGGACAAATGATATAAAATGTAAATAATATACTAACATTATTGCTACATGTTCCTACAGATGAAAATGATAATATTGAGGTAGATACTAACGAGGAGATTCCTGAAGGCTTTGTTGTAGGAGGTGGAGATGAACTTACTAACTTAGAAAATGACCTTGATACTCCCGGTAATTTCAAATTATAAATGTTTTGTGTCCTGCTGCATGGCATACTTTATGGTTATATTTACATTATTTCATTAATAATAATAATTTCTTTTGGTAGTTTTATTACATCTTATGTCCTCACAAATCATTTAGCTAAATCCACCTTCCACCAATTTTATGTTATTTTGTTTTAGGTTGAATGTTAAAATTAGCAATAACATTGGAATAGCAAATCGTAGCTCTGTTCTCTTATTACTAAGATTGACTATTATATTTTATGTTACATGAGACAATTTGTAGGCATTCAATAATTGGTTCACTTCTCAGCTTTAAAAATTTTGTATGATATAAGGTATATATAGAGCACATATATATATATATATGTATTATATATATAATATATATGAAATACTCTAAATGTAATATATATATGGAATACTGCAAATGTAAATCTAAATTTAGTAGTCTTAGTTGTAATATTACTTTGCAAATTTTGTGCTTACTTTAAGTATTTAAATATTACTACTAATAAATTATTTCATACATACTTAACTGATTATGAGACATTTCTTATGAAAACTACATATATAGACTGCTACTAAATTAATCCTACATCAGCCAATCAGTAAATCACATTGGCAATTGACCTTTGTAAATTCTTGCTTAAAATATAAAAATACTTGCTGTTGGTTTTTAATAGATGAGTGTTCCATACGTATTGCCTTTGTAAGCCAGCAGCAAGTAGCAATCCAAAGTTTTGTCTACCTGAGGGGTTCCATAAATGCTTATAACAATAAAAAGTCTTTGGCGTTTTCTTTAGATTTAACAGTAAGGAGGCAAAGTCCCTAATATTTATCGTTCCCTGTAAAAGCTACAGGGAGTGAGATCAGGCATTCTTTTCTCCATCCCTGTTGTGTCTGCAATGCAAACTTGCTTTGTTTCTTCCCCTGTTTGAAATTGTGCTATTACCTCTCCAAGAAACAATTGACCAGGGTCTTCCTAACCATAAGGAACACCCGAGAAAACCCATGTTCTTTTTCTCAGTAGCTCCTTCATGGCCCAGTATTAAATTATACTGTTGATAGACAGAGGTCAGTATATTTGTAATTGTGCAAGTCCAAGAGAATGCTGATATTTAAGGAAAACTTTTAAGTGTTTAACCCAAAATTAGAACTACGTTTTAATTCTTTTTGTTTAAAATACTGTAGAACTTGGGTAGGTCTGATTTTTCTTTTTGAAAAGATTTTTGTTGTTGCTTACTCAACCTCCCAACACAACCAGCACCAAAGACTTTATCAGAATACCATCACTTTACTGCTGAGGACATCCATAAGTACAGAATGGAAACTTTAACATTCAGTTCATGGAAATATAAAATCAGGGACAATAATTGATGCATGTGTCCTTATTTTACAGTAGATTATGAAGACAGGAAAAAATTAGCCATTTCTTAGGTGAGGGGAGTTTTCTAGTTTCAGCTGTAGCAAATTTGTGGGATACCTTAAAGACTGGTTAATTTAATCCTGAAAGGTTTGACTCTTGTCCTTTTAAAAATTCTCTATTTTATGTATGCCAGAAAAGAAAATACATGACAGTCTTCCTGTTTGGAGTTCACTAATATATTGTTTACAGCTGTCAAGCATGCCATAAGTGTTGGCATGTGCATAGACAGTCTTCCCAATTCAGATCTCTGGTATACTTCATGGCAATAAGAAATAGGAATGCAAACTGGAATCTAGAAGCACGTAGAAAATGTTATGAGTTTTATCCTTGCTTTATTTTCCCCAAAATTCTTTTTTAATATGTATATAAAAGTCATGATGTTTTAATAATAAATTGTTTAATCTTTATCTTGATTTGACCATAGTTCATCAGATATTGTTTAAAAAGAGAAGCCTGGCAATATAAACTGACCAATTTGCATGAAAGTAATGATAATAGCATTTATTAAGAGTCTTATAATTAGAAAAGTTATTAATCTTTATGAAAAATACCATTCTCCAAATGGTTGGCATGTCTTTTACAACCATTTTATTAAAGAGTTGCTTTGTATGAATTTGTTTAAGCAGATTGTATTTCCACTTGTTTCTGAACTGTTTTATTATTAAATATTAATGTCCTTGCTAAAAATAATTTGAAAATGTTTATTTTAAAAGCCATGGCTATATTTTATTTATTTTAGATTTCTATCCATATATAATACATTCCAAAAATGTGATCATCTTTATCATATTTCTGCCATCTAAGTAGAAGATATTTGTAAACATATACCTTGTTTCAATGTTGGGTATATGTGTACACATTTTATTTATTTTAGATTTCTATCCATATATAATACATTCCAAAAATGTGATCATCTTTATCGTATTTCTGCCATCTAAGTAGAAGATATTTGTAAACATATACCTTGTTTCAATGTTGGGTATATGTGTACACACATAAACACTGGATTCTAACAGTGTGTACGTAACTATCTGGATCCTGTTAAGAACTTGTTTTACTGTGGCATTATATGTATGAATTTAATATACTAAGGTAAGATAATTGAAACAGTAATATAATTTAGAATCAAATGTGTCTTTTCTCTAAATATCTAGTTTGCTGTAATAGCTTGTTTTATTATGTATAACCTATGCAGTTACTTATATAAAGATTGCATAAGTATAAAATTACTATTAACTATAATATTACTGAGTCATCTTTAGGTATGTTGACTATATTCTTTAAGAGGAATGATTTTGAAGGGGGAACATGTATGTACACATATGTAAGGAGTTCTGCATGTGTCTAATCTGATATGTTACTTTACAACTTTAATGTCCTTTTCTTTTTTTTTAAAGTAATATCTTTATGATGTCACCTAAAATTGATAGCCTACACACCTAAATGCGTATCACTCAGTTATTCATGGTATTTGCATATTTAACAGAACAAAACAGTAAGTTGATGGACTTGAAGCTGAAAAAGCTCCTAGAAGCTCAGCCACAGGTGGCAAATTCACTCTCCAGTGCAATCCAGAAGGCTGTACCTGAGAGCTCAGATCAAGACATTAAGGTAAATCTCACTTGTTTAAAACATTTGCTCAGCTTTATGTGTATCTAGTTTCTACTGTTACTATATAATCCTGAAAACAAACTGTTACCAAATTCTTCACATTAAGATTAAGGTATAAAAATTTTTATCAAATAGCTAATAAATTAAAATTTCAATCTGGTAGTCAGAATTCATATACTGTTTTTCAGAGAAACTACTACTTTAAATTGCTATTTCAAGTAAAAGTAGAGGGTATATAGAAACTATTCTTGAACTTTATATATATATGTATACTTTGCTAAGAATATTGCTAAGAGAATTCTAGAATATTTTTCTATCATCCTCATTCTTCTTCCTCTTTACATGAACTAGAATTTATGTTATTTATAAGAATCTATCACACCTGAAGGTGGTGATGTAATTAAATACAAGTGTTTAAGATACGTGAATGTGTTTTTGTACCATTATGAATGTTAACCTTGTGTAGGACTTTAGCCAAAATGCCACATTATAACAATATTATTATTGTTATTAGGCTATTTATATTATCCCCACCCACAAGCTCCTCCCTTTTCCTCATAGTGTATCATTAGTATTTCTCTAGCTTTAGGGCACTTCCAGTCTTGTATAACTTTTCACCCACCTGCAGACCATGGGGACTGCCTTGCTGACTGAAAGGATTTCCTTCCCCTGACAGAGATGCTTTGAAGTCCCAAAACAATGACTTTCATTGCTTTTCCCGTATATTGTCGGTTTCTATAAATTGGTGATGAAAGTGTGTGGCAGCGCCAGAGGACTTTTGGTCTCTATTTTTGAACAAAAGGAAGCCTGGATCAGGTCTGATTTTTTGCGTTCAATTTAGCTTTCTGCAGTGGATTTAATGTGGAATGAAGCTGGCCTAAGAATAATACAATGGATTGAAAAGGCTAACTGAATTAGTGGGTTTAGAGGAATACATTTGTAAAGTGGCAGAAGTCCCTAGTCATAAAAAAGGTTTCTTAAGATGGGATTTGCTGGCTAATCACACTGATATTTTAGCATGTTGCAAGGCCAAAAAAAAATTTAGCTGTGTTTGTTTATTTTGGTAAAGACTTGGGTTTTAGACTACTAGATAGTTATTATAACAGTGGAATTCATACTTTCCTTTAAAAAATAAAAGCCAAAATTGTTTCCATCCTAACTACAAAGCTAGTTAGGATATTTTAAGACGTATTTTTATTCTATAAGTATGATGTTAATGATAAATATATTAGGTAACTTTTTAAAAAATTAAAATAGAGGTATTTGTATTCTTATGGTTTAATCATCTACATAGGTGAAATTTCTGCTCTCCAAAAAGCTCTTATTGAGTAATTTTTAAAGTTATTCCAACAAAAGGTGTGCTTTAAACAGCTTGCCTTTGTATGAATCTTTTTAGCTAAGATTTTGAAAATGGTGTTAATAAGGAATACACAGAGTCCATCTGTTCTCTTGAAGCTTTTAGCATTGATTTGGGGTTTTATTTTTTTTTTTAATAAAATGCAGTTTACACATTTATAAATGAGGCATTCTGTGTTTGTGGAAAAGGATAAACTGTTACCTTCCCTTGAGGATTCTGTATCCCAGGCCTCCTTGAGGCTAGAGAATAGGCCATTGGAGGGCTTCCTCATTACCGATTGTCTCAATGCAGAGGAAGGGCAAAGTCTTGGTAGCTTTTGATAACCAGTTTCAGCATTCAGCAGGCTTAGCTATTAGTCATGCATCTTAGCCTTTCCCTATTTACTTTCAAAACACTTAATAAAAATAATAAAAGATTAGGTATAAAATGAAATATTTGTTTGGTACACAGCACCTCGGTATCTGCAGCTTCCACACACCGCAGTGGTTCAGTCTTCTGGGATATTTCTTGTTGATAGAACCATTTGAATTTGTTACCAGTATTAACATAGGAAGCTCTGGGAAAGATAATTGTAGTTTCCTTAGCTGTAAAGGGCTTACTTACAAATCTGGCTTTGGAAAGTTATAGCTGATGAAATACAGTTCAGTGGGGTAGTACTATAATCCTACCTTTTAGCTTTCATCCAGCATTAATGGTTTATCTCAATGGGCATAAAATTAGAAACTAGTTCTTCTTGTCATACAAGTCTGTGGGACTGTACAAACTGATGGGGCAGAATAGTGGGGAGAATAGAAGGCAACATGGCTTTTAAATGATACATACCACTGGGAGAAGACACAAGTTCATAGTATCTGGTATGTCAAAGTTATCGAGGGTTTAAGCCATGCGCCCCAAAGTTTTTGATTATAGGCAACAGAATTTGAAGTTGAGCTATTTTGAGTACTTTGAAATCCTTTTTCTTTAAAAAAAAAAGTTTCTAAATCAGCATTATCTTAAATCACTGAAAGTTGCCTTACTAATGTTTAATTCCATGTTTATAAAATGAGGACTGTCTTACCATGTGTTGTTTTACTTTTAGAACGGCACGGAAGATCTCCGGACTGAGCGATTACAAAAAGCAACAGAACGTTTTAGAAATCCTGTTGTGTTCAGCAAGGATTCTACAGTCAGAAAAACTCAACTTCAGTCTTTCAGTCAATATGTTGAGAATAGACCAGGTAGGAACACTTTTTAAAATGTTTCCCATCTTATGACTTAACAGTATTTAACGATATACATACGTACACCTATATATATAAGCCGATAATGTAAATCCGCATTTCAATACACAAATATCAAGCTTTATAATAATTTTACATGTCTTCTCCCCCCTCCCTTTTTTTTAAGAGATGAAAAGGCAGAGATCAATACAGGAAGATACAAAGAAAGGAAATGAGGAGAAGGCAGCGATAACTGAAACTCAGAGGAAGCCATCAGAAGATGAAGTGCTTAATGTATATTAATTTTTTGTGTGGTTTCATGATTGCTGATAATTCCAAACTGTATGTGGAAATAGTGCCTTTATTTGTTAAAATGAGATGTTAGGTTTTTTAAGATGTCAATCTCCAGTGCATTCAAAGCAGAGTGAGAGGGGTGCACTGTTGAATTAGTCTGCAGTGTGGTGATAATTGTCAGATAAAAAAAATGAATTTTTCAGAGTTCCACAGCCCCAGCTTCCTTGAGACATTTCCATCAGGGCACTTCCCATAAAGAGATTCTAGTATTGATCTACCAGGAGGATTTTAATTATTACAATAGCAGATACCGCAGAGCTGCAGTTAGAGGGAAAAGTCACATGAGACCTGCTAGAATTTCTCAGCCAACCCATTTTGTTGGCTTGGGTTAATGGGTGTTCAACCTTTCCATTATCCAGATCAGCCGTGAATTACTAGCTGAATGATGTTTGCATTAATATAATATATATGGTAATTTCTTCACTTAATTAACGGGGAGGTTCAGCTCAGTAGGGGTATGGGCTGATCATGTGTAAAATTGATTTGTGAGGGAAATATTTGATAGACCGCAGGGAGAAAGCTGCTTTTGATGGACAGCTGCAGGACAGAAGCAGGAAGAACAAGTTTTAACTTGAATTTTTGTCTAGGAGCATAGCTATCTTTAATGGTGCTACTTTTTTATTATCTACAGTTTGTCTAAATATTTTCATTGTGTTTACTGTTAGAATATTCATTGTTAGATTTTAAAATCCTTATAAATGCACTCAGTTGCCAACTACATTTTAGGGCTCTAAAACCTTCTCATTTTAAGTTGTTCATTTTAGAAGACCTAGAAAGGTCTTAGTACAAAGAACAGCTTAGTGGTATAGCCTGATGAAGTATTTGGTATAAGTTATAAGTTACAGAATACTTGAGTATACTATATACTCACACTAAAGAAACCTGATTGTGAAATTTGTTACTATTTTTAACTGGACTAATCAGTAAAAGCAATGAAATTTATGTGTTGCTTATCACTTCGACTTTCTTATATCTTTGTTACTCATATTGTCTTTGCAAACTACTACATTCGTTTTGTCCCTCTGGATGGGAATAAGAAAAGGAAAAGACCCTTTTGAAAATGCTCTGCTATCTGGCAGATAGGTTCAAAAAGGATTCACCAGATTATTCCAGATTTTAAAGTTACCATTAGCATTTATTCTGTTATTATAATTTTTCTGTATATTTTGTATTGAGATGGAAGAATATCCATTTTGTATGAATTTTTAAAAAATACAGTGACTTTTTTGTCAAACTATCCTGAGAAATTATCAGTGTTAAGATTTCTTAAAATATTTCAACTTTAATTTTGTCAACTGCCATAATCAATTTAACAATGTCGGTATAAATTGAGTTCACGTGTAAGGACAAATCATTTTTCAAGTTCAAAAGGTATGTAGGTTATACATACAGTTAGACATATTTATTGATCATGAGAATTCCAAAATATGCTCGTAATTAATGATCTTGTTTTTTGTTTAAGGAGTAACAAAAGATAATTTTTCATAGCTTCTTAGAGATTAATATGCTTCTAGGTAGGGAAGAGATTTGACAAATGAAGATTGTTCACATTTATTTTTCTGAATAAATAACAAGTGTTGATGACAGTAGTGGTAGTGGTGAGAGTATCACTTAAGCATTTCTTTAATATTTCTCAGCTACTTAGTTCTCTTAGCCCTAGAAATGTCAAAAGGTAGACAGGTATTCCAAAGGGAGCTATAATTAACCCATTTTTGTGATTATGTCATAAATAATAACCCTGCCCCTAATGATTTAAATTTGTAATATGAAAATAAAAGTTAAGACTATACTGGCACTTTATAATAGAGTTGCTATTTCAAATTAAACTTTTAAGAATAATTTTTTAACATGGATTGTTATGAAAAGTAAATTTTCAAATTGAAATCCAAATTTGGATAAATGGAAGATTAAACAAATCAGTATTAATTACATTGGATTCTGTGTAGCAAGGTTTGAAACCACCTGTCAGGTTAGAATTAGCAGCTGTAATAATTAGTAATACATCAACAGAATGACATGTTAAAGTACAGGAGCCAGCTGGAGGGAAAACTGGAGATATTGCAAACTTCTTTTTTATCTTTTTTTATCATTTTAAATAGTATAGTCACTATGAAAACAAAAAATGTGTCTTAATTTTGTATTTTTATAGAACAAATCTGTCTGATTCTCTCAGGTTGGGTACTTTAAGGATCAATTTCTTAGTAAAACTCCATTTTTGTATATTATACTTTTGAAGTAAAGATGTCATTGGTGTTTGTTTTGAAAATCACCAAAGGGACAATTCTCTTTTGTCATTTTTCATGCTTAGATAACTCTGACTTAACTCTATGGGGAATTTTTTAAAAAATTAGTGTTAACCTTTTAAGTCTTGCAAATCCGAGTGTGAAATTATAAATATAACACTATAAACAGGTGAAATATTCTCTATTTGCAAAAGTTTGGTACGCATAACACGTGAAAAATTTCTGAGTCATAGGGAGTTGCTTTTTGGTACTAAGGGTGATGATACTAAGGGTGTATTTAGTTCTCTAGGTAAGTGCTTTAGTAAGTGTTTGTAGAAAGGAAAAATGCAACTTACAAGTGATTTTTTTTCTTCCTGTTTGTTCTCGTTAACAGAAAGGGTTCAAAGACACCAGTCAGTATGTTGTAGGAGAATTGGCAGCACTAGAGAATGAGCAAAAGCAAATTGACACCCGTGCCGCGCTGGTGGAGAAGCGCCTTCGCTATCTCATGGACACAGGTACGGTGCCCAATTACACTGTAAACAGTTTTGGCAAATTGAGCGTTCACAAACTCTTATAGAGTTTTGGAAGTGTGAATCTTTGAAGCCTGAATGTTCAGCAAAACTGCCTTGAAAATAAAAAGGCTGTGATTTGCAGCCACCTCTCTGGGCCCTGGTGATAAGAGTGCCTTCATGGGAAGTGATAACTCGCCCTGATACCGTGTGAGCCAGCACTATTGAACAGTGTGCTCATCCATGCAGAGTTGGAATACACATCTGTGCCTCATTGATATGCCACTGCTTAAAAAAAAAGTAAGATCTTTACTGTTCTACTGATTCATTGGGAAAAAAAAAGATTTGGCCAGCTAAAGCCATGTACTGCATGAAACAGCACTGTGCATAGGGGACGGCTCCATGGACTAGATCACTGAAATTTGAGAATACTATCTGGTTACTGATGCTCCACAATTTTTTCCCCCAAGAGAACAGGTTTTTAAGAGTCTGTAATACTTTGTGTCACAGTTGTATTTGAAAGGATTAAAGTATATAGAAATGTTCATAATGATGGGTTAGAGCAGCAAGTTAGCTCCTAACCAGAAGGTAGACTGGTATTTAGTGCTGATTGCCAATAGTGATTGAATAGATCTAAGAACACAATAAGCTATTGGAAAGTAACAGTGAGTATGTATGTATGTGTGTGTTTCTTTTAAAATGGTGCTCCTACAAAAGGATAAAAATGAGAAGTTAATTCAAATAATTCACACCAAGTTAAAAATGTTATATTAAGAAAAAATGTCAAAAATAAGAGTGGAAAATACATTTCTTTAATCTAATTAATTGCTTTAATTTTATATCAGTGTTAAAATAGAGTAGCATGATTTAGGACCAAAAAGCTCTCCTGAACTTCTTCGTAGTTTCTAAAAATATATTTATAAAAAAAGAACTCCTCCAAAAGTAAGCATTTATATGGGACATTTGAAAATACATATATTAGTGAAATAAGAATATATTAGAACAGGAAAGGACTTTAGGCTTTATCTGGCCCAGTGGGTTTCATACTGTGTTCTGTGGAGCCCTAAATCTTTTTCAGAGGCAGCTCAGGGGCTGTCAGGACAATAGGGAGCAGAAAGCAGACAGGCATTTGGATTCCTTACCTTACTTCAAAGTGGCTCTGAGTTTATTTATTTGAAGTAGTGACTTTCTTGGAAGCATTTGTTTGAAAAAAGGTTCTACTGCTTAAAGTTAAAAACCAAAAAAACTTTTTTGGGAAAACTATTACCTAATTCTGTCATATACAGGTGAGGAGACAGAGGTACAAGAAATGCTGAAGGTCACACAGATCACTAAGTGTCAGATCTTAGACTAGAATCCAGGTCACAAGAACCCTATCACATAGGACCTGTCTACCTACACCTGGTTACCTAGACCACTCTCCTAACATGTTATATACATGCTCAGTCTTTTACATATACTGTTGTGTAGATTCAGCATAGATCCATAAACCAATATATTGTTTCACATTTGGAAATTTTTCTTTGGTTTCTCGGGGATTTTGAAAATATTAGCTATGTTAGCTATATAAAAATGTAAATAATAGTGTAATTTCTGTATGACGTTTTAAAATTATTTCATTTGAATATTTTAAGGAAACAAACAGAAAATTTTTTTTGTTAAACAAATGGAAATTAATGCCAAGGTCAAGGGATTGGTTCCCTGTACTGGCCAGCTGCCAAAAAAAAAGAAGCAGACAATCCCTGTTTGTGTTGGATAAATTAGATATTACTCTATAACAAGCCTTATGCCAGTAGTGAAAAAGCTAGAAATTCTGTTTTCTTTTCTTCTTTTGTACTCAGGGCCTATTTATTGAGGTTTCTAACCAAAATAGACTCAAGTTCTCTTTCCCACCCTACATATCACCAGCGAAGCTTTGAAACAGCCCCATTCCAACTACAGATCATTCATTATCTGAAAGACAGTTACAGACTGTAGATTGATTCTGGAATCCCTTCGAGACTTATGTTCCTTATTCTACAGGACAGAATCTGATCCTTGCTACTGCAGAGTCAGACTAAAACTTACTTGGTCCCCCAACTTTATAAACTGCAAGAATCACCCTGGACTGTATTGAACCTCCTTAGCACAAGTAATGTTTTAAGATTTGCCTAAAATCTAGTTAGTGTCTGAAGTAAGAGATAAGATATTACAGAGTGAAAGCAAATATTTGTTCTTTGCCTTTTTGGGTTTCAGTACATGCCAAGTTTTCATTTATTATAATGGTACCTTTTTTTCTTGTTAGAGATTTCAAGGTACTTTTTGAATCTCAGCCTCAGAATTAAGCAGAGCAGATAGTATCCATATTCTTTACATAATGAAACTCAGACTCAAAGGAAAATGACTCGTTTAAGTTGACCTCATTAGTAATGATAGAATTAGGGCTTGAACCCAGGTTTTTAGGTTTCGTAGCTCTTGACTTAGCCCTCTTTTCCCCACCATGTCTTCTTTACAGAACAAATATATTCTATTTGCTATTTCAGGTTTTTATATACTTGTAGATACCAACTATATTCAATTTTTTATTGATTTGAAATTCACATAACATAAAATTAACCATTTGAAAATATACAGTCCTGTAGCATTTAGTACATTCACAGTGTTGGGAAATCACCACCATTGTATATTTCCAGAAGTTTTCTATCACTCCAGTCAGAAAGTCTGTACTCATTAAGCAATAACTCTGTTTCTTCCTCTCCCAATCCCCTGAGAATTTCTAATCTACTTTCCGTCTATATGAATTTGCTTTATTCTAGATAATGGAATCAAACAATATTTGCCCTTTTGTGTTTGGCTTCTTTCACTTTACATAATGTCTTCAAGTTTCATCCATGTTGTAGCATGTACCAGTACTTCATTCCTTTTTATGGTTGAATAATATTCTGCTGTATGTATATACCATATTTTGTTTATTCATTTATCTGCTGATGGACATTTGGGTTATTTCTACCTTTTGGCTACTGTGAACATTTGTGTATAGGTATCTGTTTGAATTCCTGTTTTCAGTTGTTTTGGTTATATACCTAGGATTGGAATTTCTGGATCATGTGGTAACTCTGCACTCAATTTTAAATGAGTTGCGAGGTTTATTTAGAATTCAGAATGCATTTTCCAAAAGAAACAGTGTTATGTGTCCATATGCCATACAAACCCAGAAAAACCTATTCATTCAAAATATAACTAAATAATATTAATAGTTGTCTAGATCTGAGTCCTAGGTTCCCAGAGCTTGAACAATTCTGGGTTTTAAGCACCACCACGTTGATATTGAAGCTCTTGAATCGTAGGGGGGAGGGGGGTAGAGCCTGGATGGTGGCCCAGACTGCTGGGCATTTCTCCTGGCATGTTGGCAGAAGGATCTAGCAAAAAAATGGGAAAGGAATATAAGAGAAAGCTTCAGTGGGTCATACAACAAGATGGGAGGTGCCAGAAATGAGAATGGGAGTAGCTGGGGAAAGGCATCAATGGCAGAGAGAGCACCTGCACAGATTTATATGTCTGGTTCCTTCTGAAAATTGTTGAGTAATCCTAAATCAATGGTAGTCTGAATACTAGATAGCAATATTGTTTATGTGCGTGTGTGTTTTAAATTGTGCTTGAAAGCATATTATTTTCTGCCATCCCACCTTGGGACCTGTCAAGTCCTTATGCAAATACTAGAGAATTTTTTTCCATCAGCTTTTAATGGCTTGTGGGTGTATGTGTGTGTAATTGTTGTTGAGGAATTATTAATTTCCTAGTACTCAGAGGTCGTAATGATTACTTCTTTGGGAACAGCAAAACTTAGATATATGTGTGCGTTCCAAGCTGACACTTTGTATGTAAGTGTAGCACTGGTGGATCTGTGCCAGCAACATCATAACCCTTGAAAAAATGGAGTTGATAAAGGAAATGTTGATGGGCCTTTTACTATAGTGCTATGAACAGTGTTACTATAATGGATGGTGTTTCTTTTCTATTCCCATTCGATGAGTATCAAACTTTCTTACTGTAGAACTGTAGTGTTTTGATCTAATACTTTTTTGTTTTTGTTTTTAAAGTGACAACATTTTATTTACATTTTGAGTGTAAAAATTAAACATTATTGAGGAGGGAATTAAAATAAAATTGCATCTTGCAACTTTATAACCTTTGAGTACTGAGTAAAAGGATCATAATAGCCTCCTTATGTCCCTAGGCCAAAAATACTGATTCTGTAACTTTTTGCCAAGTATCTACTCTAAAAACCTAACTGGCCATTTAAAATCATTAAATATACTTAGAGAAAAAACAAATTAAAACAAATAACTTTTTTATACATTCTTCAAAATGTGTCTTTACCTCATCCTTTGAAGACCAAATGTAGTATTTGTTAAAGTTGCTTTAAAGCAGAGAATTGGGCCCACAAAAAAACAAAAATAAAATTTATGTGAGTTGTTACTGGGAACTTTCCCCTTTGAATCTCCAGAATTATCCATTATCTGTACCTAAAGATGACAATAATGGCCAATATTTATTGCATGCTTATCTAGCTCAATGGGAAATGCTTTATATGCTTTTTTTTTTTTTTTTTTTGGTCTCTCACAGCGGCCCTACAATATGTTACATTAATAACTGGGAATATTAATAATTGTGTTTCCAGATGGGGAAACTGAGACTCAGAGAAGTAACTTGCCCAATTCATATAGTTAACAAGTGGTGGAACAGGAGTCAAACTTAGTCTGATAGCTCTGGAGCCCGGCTCCCAGACACCACCTGACATTGACTCTGCTTCATCCATCTTCTTAGAGGTGAACTTCTGATTTTCCTGGGGTTTTATTAATAATTCTCTGGACCCTCTCATTACCATTTTATGATTTATAATTAGTAACTCAAGAAACAGATCAATATTTATTTAGCTTACACAAAAAGACACTTAGCCAACCCATTTGGCTCATTAGAGACCCAACAAGCTCATGTTCCTCTTAACATTATTTCTTTACCTTGGT